TGAGATCATGCTGGTGTAAGAGTATCACTGTGGCAGGATAAGGTCATTTGCTATTCCCGACAGTAACTAGAGTCACAGCAACCACTGAAACAAGCACATATCTGATTCCCTGAACACATGGCTGCTTCTCAGAAGAGATACCTGAACACATGGTGAATTCATCTGCTGTCCATCCTATACCTCCTAATGTGCCAATTATTGGAATAGGACAGGAAAAAAATATTTTTTTCTTAACAGGACTCAATAGCAACTGTAAAAAGCACCACTTAACATAATGACCAAATTAGGCCGACTAAGAAATAAGTAATACAGATGACAATGGGAACATCTGATCCTAGATGAAAGAAACTGCAGTGTCCTTTTAGGTTGGAGTTTTACATCTGTGGGAGTGCATTTGGATTTTATTACATGTCAGATGTTTTGCTGAAAATGAGTAGCATCAGGAGGGAGCTCGGTAATAGTGATTATTGCCAGAGCACCCCCATAACTTTTATCTGATCAATAATGATTTGTCGGTGGCTCTGCACAGCTTTCCCAAATAAAAAAGTCCTGCAGAAATTACAAATACATTAATCACAAAAATCTCTCAGACCATGATTTAATTTCAGTTCAGCATGCCTCACAGCAAACACAAGCATACTAACATGATTACTAGTTGGATTAAATCTGGAGAAACTATTGTTTCTTTTATCTGATTTGTTAAAAACCATTTTGCAGACGCATCACATGGTGAATGCTGCTTTTAAACTAGTTTTTAGGCTTTGATGATTACACTGCAGATCCCAGTTGAGAGATGCAGGCATCAACATCATGAAGTATTAAAGGCACATGTAGATGTCACTAAAAAGTAGGAGTAATTTGGGTACTTGAAGCAAATCAAGCAGCATCTTTAATGACAAGCATTAGGTCATGAATATCGCCTCAACACAAAGCTAGTTTTTCATCTTATTCTGAAAGTGAAACAGATAGATAGAAGACAACAAGTTCTACTTAGCAATGAAGGTCTGTCAGGCGCAAATATAAAGATGTTTGTTTATGCTTGTTTAGGGCAGCAGCATGTAATAAAATCTTTATTTTCATTATCAGTGGTGGGAGTTTTGGAGCTGAGGAAACATTCTTGTTTAGAGCTTCAGAAATCCTATAGTTAGTTCAGTAGGCTATGGTTAGAGGGTTTGATATATAATGAGACCAGTGGGTCAGAGGTCCAACATGAGATAAGTTGTACCCTGTGGACCAGGGATTTACCATCAGAACCTCCTTCCCTGAATCTCCTCCATCATAACAAACAATAACAACTGCAAGATCGGAGGCAGAGTGATGCTGTGACGCTATCTCTCGTACACATCAAATCCCAGATCTACCCTCTGATTGGAGGAGGGAAAGGAAATCCTCATCTTGAGTCCCACAATCATTAGCGTGAATCACAGCTGCAATTAAAACCTCGTTTATCTTAATTACTGAACTAATGAGACGAGTCCCGCAGGAGTGAGCCGCGCTCTCCGAGGACACTCGGGGCGAGGAGTGGGAAGGCATGAGAGGCGTCATGCGGAGTCACACTTAAGTCTGCAAACAAGCACGTCCTCGCACTAATCTGACTGCAGCAGAGCACATGAGCCTGGATAGACAGAGACATATGCGTAAGTATGCATGTACAAGCACGCACAGGAAAGAAACACACACACAGATATATACAACATGCATCATCTGACAACCTTACCCTCCACCCTTTATCTCCTGGTGCTGCATAACCCTTCAGCTTAAATTATCTATCAAACTTATAATGATTTTATCAAGCCTCCATCTCCATAAGGGCTTGGTGCGGTGCTATAACTCTTGATTTTGCAACGACTGGGAATACATCGCATCGCCTAATTAATGTCTTTTTAATGCTCTTCTCCTCTAGAGCTTAACTCAGCCCTTCAACTTTGCAACAAACACAACACAATACAACATGTGGCAGCAGACGGTAAGTAAGACTGAATAGGTGTGTGCACTGAATGGGAGCACAGGGTTTATGGTGAGCTTTGAAGTGGGCTGGGCGGCCGGCTTGCTGTCCTGAGCGTACAGCAATCAGGAGTGCACACGGATTGACGCTCATACACCAACGAATAATGCATGACTGGTCACATGCGTGCACACACGTGGGGTCAAATTCCTTCGTTTGGTTGTGAGGTCGTGCAGCGACTCAGCAGATGGCAGAACAATGAATATCTTCATCACCCAAAATTCCCATGGTGCTCCAAGCTTATCAAGCAGTGCCAGCCCTTATCAGCCAGCTGGCAGTACTGGAGGCACTGATGTCCTTCCATCCTGGCCATTCTGGGCTCGACAGGGGGCAGGCAGAGTTTAAAGGATACAGTCCGCAGACGGCTGTATTCCTCCCGATGGGTGTTTATTTTCACCACGCAGATCAATGTTTCAGTTCTGCAGGATCTCTGAGGGATTGTTCGTCCTTCAGGATTGAAAGGCTGATTGTGGTTAAAATAAACACCCTGTGGGGGTATTAAAGCCGCATTACAGCGGTGCATTGACCACAGAGTCAAAAGTGTCGGCGTGTTTTACCTTAAGAGAAACATGGATTTTACAAGGAGAAGTAAGCAAAAGGAAGGCTGCAAACTTGCTACAACCATTTCATGATCAATTGTTAAGTATAACAGAAGGCATCTGAAACAAATAAACAATAAGTTTTCTCCTACAACACTCATATCCAAATCAAAGATATATTTGCTGGCTTTGATGCACGAAGACAACTAAATGATTCTAAGTACCCTCAGTTGATTCAGAATTTGGATTAGCTAATTACCTATCACTGGAGGTATCTGATAGTCAAATTAATGTCAGGAACACTGCGTGGCAGCCATAAAGATAAAATATTAGCATCTCAAAATTGAAAGAAGAAAATGGTGCCATTCACTTTGCAGACATTTCACCTTCTGATCTTTGTGTGCACAGTTAGAACACTAAGAAACCAGATGGTGCTACATAGATGCTACAGCAGGAGCAATTTAGAAGATGGTAATTATGTTACTGTGCTGTGCTGAGTTATGGTTCCTGCATTACAAACTTACTTTAAGATAACCCAGTTAAAGCTGCAGTAGGCAGAAATGTGAAATAGGCAAAAACTCCTCCTCCTTCTGCTGCTCTTCCCTCACTGATCGAAATGATCCAGACGTGCATGCATTTCAAACATGCACAGACAGTCAAGCCCAAAGCTAATGTTTGTTTTGTGTCTTCACCCAGGAATCAAAACCCTGGTATCCCGATTGAAAGTCCACTGTCTAACCTATTGTGTCTGCACATGCGGCTTTCACTGTGGACTTCTGTCTCACCTTGTGGTGGTGAAGTCCTGTGATTTGCTATAATCCCCCGTCACAGGTAAGATTTTCTAAAGCCTAAAAATAGAGCCAAGAAGTCTGGTTTCCTTTCAGATCATCAAGTCTATGATTGATTCTGAAGAAAGATTGCTCATATTGAGCTAGATAGGTTTTTTTTAAAATAGTATGTGCCAGATCTACCATCCCTCTTGCTTCTACTTCCCCCTTCCTACTCATTTGCCCTTCCTTACCTCCTGTCTGTCCTGAAATAGTTCTGTGTGAATCACTTTAAACAAGCGTTTTGCACGACCACCAGATTTGTTTTCAACACACGCAGGACAGACAGCTACTAAATTACAAGGAGATATTCACTGAATTTGATAATTGCATTGAACTGAAATCACCGACTATATCTTTAATCTAGTAACAACCACAACACCAGTGCGTGTCAGCTCAGTCCATGTCACTCCCTATTCCTATTGTAGCTTCTCTCCACTGAAGCTTTACTCAATTCAGTGCAACCATATCCATCTACTCGTGTAAGTTCAACACCAAGTCAACAAAAGTGAGTTTCACAGGATTGCCAACTAGGTTATTCTTATTCTTTGAAGCACTGACCATGGTCAGTGCAGTGCATATACTAGAAAGGTTTCAGTTCTCCATTCAGACCTGATATAATCTGAGAGGGAAAGGTTAATGAAGAATGCTCACCTGGTAAGACTGAAGTGTGAATAAGCAAACAACATAAACTTTCAGAACGTTTTACAGCATAGTTGTATATAAACGTTAAAGTAAAGCACAGACAGACATATACAGACACCTAATACTCTTCCCACTTGCTGCTAATCCCCAAAACTTAATTTCTGTCATTAAAAGTTTGTAAGTTTGTAAACTTACCAAACATCTTGGAATAAAGACTGTATATTCATGTCATCATTTACACATAAGGATTAATAAACAGAGTACCTGTCCAATAATTGTAATCCTAGATGTGGATCAACACCAAAATCTAATGTAGAGCTTTTTGCCCTGAGGACAATCTGTCCACCAGGTTTCATTGAAGTCTGTTCATGAGTTTTTGAGATATCTTTCTGGCAGACAGTCAGATGAAGTAACAGGCAGGCATAAACATCATATCCTTGGCAGAGGTTAGAAAACTGAATTCAGGAGTATTAAAGCAGGATCACTGCTACAGCCTTATCAGCACCATGCAAACTGGAGCTTCCTCTCTTCCTTTTTAATGTAAACTCTCTGATATAGTAACACCAACTCAAGCTATGGACACTTTCTCTCAGCGCATTTTACAGAAATTGTTTTTCTGTAAAATATCTTTCAAAAAAACAATGAAAACAACACAAGTAGGCAACTACAGAAAATCCTGAGATCACACTCTTCTGCCGAAGGTAAAATTTGTCACTCTGACAAATCATAATCCTGTTTTGATGGCACAAGCCAACGTGAGAATGATAACGCTAAATGAAGGCTGACTTCTGCACAACTGCACCAAAACAGTGATTAATAACTGCTTACGGCTAAGCCTATTCTCCAATGCTGAGGCACCGCTCTCTGCTCTTATTGACTGTTGTGCTTGATGAGATTTGTCTATTATTGTTGTGGAATTATGATAAGAGTTGATCGATTCCCCTCTCTGTGCTGCGGATGTCAGATTGATTATGTGACTCAGACCTGAGATGATGGTGTAGCCGATTCCTCTCGGTCGGCCAAGATCCTGGTCAATGGCTGTTATCTTCCGCACTTCGTATCCCTGCAGAGACAGAGACACACACAAAACACAGTGTATAAGCTGCATGTAATCTTCACAGCCTCTTTTTAAAATTACATTTTTATTTTTTTTTAGCACTTCTGCAGAAGTTTCCACTTTAATCTGACATTTTGTCAATGACAAAAAGCTTAGTATCACAGTAAGCAGTTATTGACAAATAAGATAATACTACATCTCATTTTTATGGTTTTCATCCTCTGCTGTGTGCACACAGATTGTTAGCGGCCTTTAGCACTTTGTAAAAACAGTTTTGTCCTTCAAGATGACAGTGAAATTGAATCTGTGAGTTGAACTGGAGCTTGTAAAGACAATATTCAAAACAATATCCATAAATGACCATCACCTCCACCAAATTTTAAAACATAGGAGCAATGCATTTCCAATTCTACACACTGGAAGGGGAAAACAGTTTTAAAAACTCTGCCACAAAAAGAAAAAAGCATCCTGGCAGGTGATCACAAACAACTTTTTCTTGATGGGTGTTAATAGCATTTCATCAGGGTTTATTTCTCCTTTCGTTGTTTCAAAACTCTCCACTTGTGCCAATGGGTCTTCTACCTGACAAAACCACAATATGACAGTTGAAGAAAAATGAAGAAGAGAGAAAGCTATTTGAAATGTCTTTGATCCGCTGAGCTTTCTCAGCCTTCGTGCCTCAATCAGACACGGTGGTGATACTTAAAAACCCCTGTGCTGCAGTGAGAGATTGAGAGACCCTCCCTACTTCCAAATTTCCTTCCTTCCTTCCTTCTCTCTCTCTCTCTCTCTCTCTCTCTCTCTCTCTCTCTCCTCCTCCCTCACTCCCCCCTTAGCCCTCTCACTCACACCCAAGCAAGCTGTCTCCCATTGATCCTGCAAATTGTGTCTAAGACGTGTTTATGCTCCATTTCTGCCAAAGCATCTCCTGTCATTGACCAATTACAGCAGAATCAATTACAAGCCTTTTAGAGAGACTGATTCACACCAATCACTAGCTGAGAGGGAAACACACACACACACACACACACACACACACACACACACACACACACACACATGAATGATGCAGGGACAGACAGAGAAATAAATGACTGAGAAAGTGAGTGAGGAGAAGTGATGCTGAAGTAATATGAGCAATATTCTCGAGCTGTCCACACAAGTGGAATATGTTCAATCAACCGTCAAAGATACAATCCCTCCCCTCCTGCACACACACACACACACACACACACACACACACACACACACACGAGGAGACACACACTAACACACACACATACACCAGCACATCTCCCCAACCCTCGTCTCCCGCTCTTCATCCTTTCATTTCTAGCCATACAGTGCATTACCTCCCAGCAGATTCTCCTTTTCTCTCCTTCTCCTCATTGATTTGACAGCCAAATTGTGTTTGTCCTAGAAGGGGCTTAAACGTCAGTCCAAGCATAGATTCATAGCTATAACAGCTAAAAACCCTGCCCTGTTATTTCATCTGAAAAAACTAAATTTCTTCTAGTCCTTTGTCAAACTTTTCCCTGGATGACGGTTTGATCGGCTTGAGAATATGAGAAAGACAGGAACAGAGAAACAAACAGACTCTGAGAGAGGCATAGGCAGGAACTGAGGGAGGGGGTGGGGGGTTGTGTGTATGTGCGCACTCACAACTTTGAGAAATGACCTATGACAGGGATCCAAGTTTGATATCCCTATGTGTAAATGTCATGGACCTTGAGAATAGTTGACACTCATTCCGTCACTGTAGTCCCTCGGCTTATCACTACCAAACAGTGCATAATGGAAATGACACATGCCTGTTAGAATACCACATGAGGTCATTGGTGGGGTGTATGAGTCCGAGCGCAGTGGCATGTATTTCTGCACTTCACTTAAAGCGCTGTGGTAATCCTGCCTCTATCTGTTGTGGGGTCGAAAGGCCTCTGCAACAGATTTCCGATTCTGGTTGAGCACCTGCTGTGAACTCCTCTTACATTGTCACTTTAATAGGATTACACACTGCCCCCTACTGATAGAGGTAAGAGCTACAGCACTCCAAGGCAGTATTACTGAGGATTAACGCTGCTTAGCTGCTGTGAGAAATCTGGAATCCGTTCACTAATGTCAACTTTGTGATCCAAAGTAATGCCACTCTGTTTAACTCTCTACTCTTTATTTCATCCTCTAACTTTGCATACTGCCTTTTCCTCCTCCCCTTTCCCCTTTTCTCATTTTGCCCCCAACATCTATTCTCTTCCCATATCCTTCCCCTGCTCTTCCTCCTCTTCCTCTTGTTGTGACCTTCCTGGTGACAGTTGATGAATCAGAGAGTCAGGGAGACACCAGGCGTCGACGCCGTCATGCCCCGTTAATATGCATGCAAATGTAGCACTTGACATTTCTACTGTGGCGCGTGCAGGCTGGGGACAAGGGATGTGTGGGTGGTTGTGTGAGTTGGGGGGCTGGTTTGGGCGAGAGACTTAGGGAGAGACGGAATGGAACCTGATGGAGTGAGCGAGAAACAGAAATAAGGACGGACAGTATTATGCCCCTGTGTATAATTCCCTCTCTACAAGTGGAAACATCAATAGCTGGACCATTAGCCACCTGGGAACTGAGTTTAGGGGCTGAGTCCTGAGTCAAGGGAGTGAACATAATGGTGCACAGGTAAACAGACACATAGTGTATTAGAGATCCATTATAAACATACTTGCAATAAAGACAAAGTTTAAGGTCATAGCGAGACCCCGGTGGTTAGCGCGTCATACAATACACAGACTTCATACACATGCAACAGTATGAGCACATGAGATAGCATAAATCCTATAGCCTCAGTGACCTTTGCTGGAGGCCTCACATCCCTGAAGCAGGACTGTAAATCTCCCACAGTAATTACAGTCTCCAACACCTGCAGTGCTGAATGTAGGGACCCGGGGCTGGGTTTGGGTGTGTGTGGGTTCCTAGAGGGGAGGCTCAGGAGGGGGGGATGAGAGGTGAGATATCCTGCCCCGATAATAACTCAGACCTTCATTTTTAACCATATTTCTCCTGCACTTGCTTCGTACACCTCCTGAATAATCAAAGAGTAGCATGAACACGGGACAGGTGGAGCTGGAGATGAGCAATGAGGTAAAAGATAAGTGGACCATATTGGCAACAGAGAAGGTTAGAAAAGAAATGGACACATTACAGGGTTTCACACAGGAGCTGTAATAAGAGGATTGCATTACTGACCAGGGGAACATCCTCCTCGATGTTGGTGCTGTAGGGCAGATTGGTGAAAATGGGGTCCATGTCTTGGACATCAGTGATGGTAATGGCCAAGTTGGCAAGCCGAGACAGAGGTCTCACTTTGTCTTGATCCTGAATGGACAAAAGTACAGTAAGGGAAGCGCATTAACATTTATTTGCCAACATACGCTAAAGGTATTATTAGTGTGCTGACTAAATATACTCTCATTCCCAGTGCGTCACATACTCCCATTTTGTCAAAGCCACTGGTGTCTTAGAGATATGCACAAGTTTTGCGTCAGTGCCACCTGTGTCATTATTTGGTGCTGACTGATATATAGGTTGTTTTTTTTTCCAGTTCAAGAAACCTCCTAAGGGGTGGAGAAGGCACAAGTGATAGGATTTTCACTCAAAAAAATCAAGTGTTTGTGTCAGATGTTCATTTTTTCACTTAGTTTCATTTCATTTTGTGACCTAAGGTTTGTTTTTACTCGCTGTTTGGTTACGTTTAGGCACCAAAACTACTTGGTTAGGTTAAGGAAAAGATTGTGGTTTGGGTTTTAATATATCCTGTCGCAATATTGACCACATTACAAAGCAAACGTCTTGCTACCTGAAAAAGGCAGACAGTGACGACACCAGCAGAGCACCTTTGGCGACTGTCTTATGGTGTCTGTTTCTGACATGCACAGAGTATAGGATTCCTCTGTGCATTGAAAAATGACACCAAAGGATACCCAGTGCATTCAAATGTTAGGCCAAGGGAGCTTGATAAAGATGCAGTGTGTGACAAGTTGGGAGTGACACTGGGTTCACTGACCGTAGCGTTGACAGTGAGCTGGTAGGCTGATGTTGTCTCATAGTCCAGAGATTTGATGACAGTGACAGTGCCGCGAGCCCCATCAATGGCAAAGAATGGAGAGGGTGGCTGGAAGGAGAAGAGAACACTGCCCCCAGTACCCTGGTCTGGATCTGTAGCGTTCACCATAAATACTGATCTGCCCACCGGTGTGTTCTGAAAGACACATTTAAATTGACACACACAATAGTGAGTAAAGTGGGAAATGTTCAAGATAAATACTACTGCTGAAGTAGAGAGTGAACTTCTGACCTTTATGTGGTTTACAGAGAGGCTTTATCTTACTGCAGACAACAGTTTAATTTAGCCATAATTTTGGAACAGTGTCCTCCTTGTGACTGTGATTGCACATATTTAGCCCTTAAAGCTTCTTCCTGAAATCATGACTGCAAATAATTTATTCTCCGTCAATCTGGATTATAAAAACAATTATCAACATGGCTGCTTCAGCCACTGGTGACTGAGTGGGCAAGGGGCTGACTCAGCATTATGCAAGTGGGTCCAAATAACAAATGGTTGAGTAACAAGTACCACTGCGCAAAGACCAAAATACCATTTCTAAAATTAGATTAAATTTGACGTGGAAAAGATGTCTATAATGACCACATTTGGACTACAATTAGCCTTTACATAGAGGTCCTGTGGACGTCAACACTAGATGTTCGGTAGACGTAGGTAAAAAAAGACGTCTTTTGGCGTTACAGTCTGCACCTGCCTGTGACCAACACTGGACGTTCAAAAACGACTAAGAAAAGACGTCACTGGGACGTGTCTTTGCGCAGTGGGCTGGACCCAGCCCTGTGTCAGGTTTAGTTTTCCAGGAGACGTGTGAAGCTCAAGTGGATAAAATGAAATTAAAATAGTTTTGTTAAACATAGTGGGTAAATTCTTCAAAAACAGCTTTGTTTTGACTTACTGGAACCAGAAACATTACATTTATAATCAAGTCAATTTCCTGCACCTGTCTTCGATGTCCACATGATGTCGAAAAAAGTTACCTAGACCAACGTCCAAATGTTGGACTGCATATTGATGTCCAAGTGGGGTCATGGTTAGACGTCCAAATAGCGGACCTAGTTTGCACGTCATATAGACGTCCATAATTGGTCTTGGACCGACGGACGCAATATGGACATGTTCTGCACGTCCATCAGATGTCTGATGTTTAGTGGGTACAGTCATGACTTGATATTCTGACCCTTAACAATCTGAAAACCCTGCTAAACGACAGGTTTTTAGGAAAAACGAACGGAACCCACAAAAAAATAGCCTTAACATACTGACAGCCTTGGATTCTGACTCCGACATGACATTTTATGTCACAAATAAGGATAACGGCGTATTAGCTGATTTAAGAATCTGACAGATTGGCTACGTTCAGACTGCAGGACTTAATGCTCAATTATGGTTTTTTTGTGAAATCCAATTTTTTTGCGAGTTTCCAATTGAATGCAACTTGTATGTGATCTGCTGTGTGAACTTTATGCAACCCAAAAGTGTCACGCGTAGAAGAGGACACAACGACGTCACATGCAGTAAGTGTGCTCAGTGTTTAACAGATGGTAACGGTGGAGTTTATCTGCCACTCCCCCACCTCTGCCGCCACCGATGGAGGAAATAGAACCGTGACCGATAACTAAACTGGCATCAGCAGCGCAGTACTGCCTGTGCGTTCTGGCCACTTCCACGCCATCGGAGCGCTCCCCTGGGGTTGAAGTGCCCCCCCCCGACCGCACCAAATATTCGGATATTCAGCATTAATTGGACTTGTGTTGTTCAGACTGTCATGAAAAGATCAGATACAGGTTGCATCGGAGAAAAAAAAAAATTGGATTTAGGTCCTTTCAGTCTGCTGTCTGAACATGATGTCAACCAACGGGCCCGTTGACAAGCGCACCGGTCAATTAGGCGTGAAATCCAGTGATGTGTAGTGTTCTAACAATACACTAGTTATTATACCAACTATATCAATGAATATTAACAACAAATTCCCCTCCAAGCATCAAGCCCTCCTTGTATCTCGAAATCCGTCTTGACAATCTGACAGCCTTGCTATCTGACATAAAAGAAGGTTTTACATTTAGTGTCGGATTATTGAGTCATGACAGTAGTTGTTAATATTATTTACTATAGTGGACAATAGGGGCATAATGATTCACAAACTGGAAGAATGCTGCATTGCTGTCTTTGTCAATCCTGAGGACAGTCATCTCTTTAAAAAAAAAAAAAAAAAAAAAACTCTGAGCAAACTGAGGCCACGTTTGCACATAGCCGGCTATTTACAAAAATGGATGTACGTGTTACGTTCTACATTAAACATTGTTCACACCAGATTGTTTAAAAAAAAATAATCTTCGTTTACACAAACCCGCATAAACACATCATAAAGAGCTGCTATGAGCCTCCCAAACCTATAGGGGGCAGTGTAACGAGAAGCATAAAGCCATGCTTGTCGATCAGAGTCCTGGAAAAAACACAATGACTAATGGCACGAATTACCTCCTGTTACTTCAACAATCATGGGGCGAGGGTCGTTTGTTTGGTTGGACTGACAGAGAAGTGGAGCTACTCCTAAATGTGGTGTTAGAGTACAAAACAAGTAAAATATTGACTTTCTATCACAGTAGCCAAACTCTAAACATGGGTCGCACACATTTGACGCTTCTGTCGCATACTGTGATGTTTTTACAGTTTTCCCTTTCCTTTCCTTTAGTATGCAACGCTTTGTTTCAAGTCCAGGCTTTTCTTCCATTACTTGCTTGCATCTCTATGTAACACATTTGTATAACACCTGCCTAGTGACTAGTTTGGCATGCCCTCAAACAAACAATAAGAAAAAGTGTTTTTTGAAATCAAAGTACATAAACATATTGTGGTAGACTACAAAAATCCAATTATATACCTGTAAAAGTGCATAAAATGGGCTATTTAAAACTCGATGTGGAATGTGAATTAACACATTGTACATGTGTAATTAAGGTGGCTCAGTGTTTGCTCAGCTTCGAAGGGTAACCCTGCTAATATTCTTTAACTGATGGACCAAAACAGGTGCACTGCCAAAAAGTTCAGGGATGTTGAGATTTCGGGCTGGACGCATCAAGTATGTCAACATATGTAGACCTCTGACAGTAACAGACCAAATTCAGAGTTGTCTATCAAAAGGTTCTGGATGAATGCATTTACCATTAAGTCCCAACTGCATTACAATGCCTTTGTTAAGCGCTATGAGATGACTTGTTGTTGTAAATATGCGCTATACAAATAAAACTGAATTGAATTGAATTGAATTGAAAGGAGAAAAGAGACAACGATTAAACACTGGCGAATCCGACTGCCCCTGGATGCTTTCTGGCCATTGTATTAAATTCTGCGCTTCTCTTTTCAAGGAATAGCTTCCCACCAAATAATAATACAATAATTCACTCACACCCACAGATCCAGGGAGGTTGGTAAATATACAATATCAAACTGGGTTGTGTGTCAAAGAAGCAGCATTGGAGATAATGAGACAAATGTTAGATTCACCTAGCAACTGTTTCACTGATAAACCAGCGGACTGTTTTGTTTTGCAGTTCTAAAAAGACTGCCTCATTAACATTTCCGTTCAAAAGCTTGAAAGAAGATGAAACCACAGCGCTATCTTGATGGTGTTGTAGTCCTACAAACTTTCCACAACTGATACAGGGGTGAAAAGATAATGACTACATTTTTATTTTTGAACTGAACTATTTTCATGGTGGGGAGATGGTTTCAGAGGAGTGACCGTGCCCAGCTGGCAGCAGAGTTAAATTTTGGCACACAAGGCAATGAAACATTCTTTGTTTATTGCAGTTTCACTTTGTGACTTACTCTGATAAAGCAGATTTTACTCCCACAATTATGCAACTTCAATGGCATAGGAATATCCTATTGTAAGAAAATATTTGTTGCACTTTGTTGTCTTTGAATACAAGCGTTGCCTATCTGTGTTTCCCACATAAATTGCCCCAGGTATCAAAAAGCTAAGAGCAAAGAAATATCAACTGGGCAGAAAGGCTGCACAGTGGCGTATCAGAGTGCTGTTTGTCTTGTTCATGCTCAGCGTCAAAACCTGGACAGAGGGAAAAAAGAGGAGGCCATATAAAGAAAGAGTCCCCAGGTATTGCAGAGCAGTTTGTTTCTAAGTTTGAGGAACATCCTCATTAATTGGAATTTTATCTCAAAATAGCCACGCACACACACACACACACACACAATTAATAGGAAAAAAGAATGCCTACAGACAAAAGAAAAAAAGGTTGTGCAAGAAAATGGTAAGTATTTGGGCATACTACTGGAAAGAAAGGTTTCCTCAAGGCCCCTATTCCCTCCCTCTCTTCGTCACTCACACAATCACCTGTGCATGCAGTGTGTGGCCTTGTTTACTGCAGGGGGAGAGAGCGACCACATGGGGAGGTCATGGTGTTGAACTGAGCTGGGCCCCGAGCCAAAGCTAAAGTGACACAGTAAGTGAGCAGTTGACCCCACAGTCTGTCTGCATTGGCGTCTGGGGAGCTGGAAGTGTATTTGCATGTGTGTACAGCCTGCGCTGTAGTCTTGGTGTGTCAGGGTCTGTGAAACTGTGTGCTACTGTGTGTGAATGCTTGGGTTACAACATGTGTATGTTTGAACAGTGTGAACATGTGGGATGTGCTTGTGGAGACGTGTATATTTGTCATTTTTGTAGCAAAAGCCTTGACTATACTCCATAGGAGACTGTCACAGACAGCTGCGGACACCCATGGACATGTATTAGTTGTAATGATACTATTTTCTAGTCTGCGGGAATCCGTTTGGAGGACTCTGTCGTGTACATGCACACTCAGCTATATCTTTGTTTTCGGCGCATACACATGACCGCCAATTTCCACTATTGCCTTGTAGTGTAGTTGCTGCGCAGACTGGCGTACATTTTAGGCTGCACACAGATATGTGCAGAGGGGTCCACACGAACTCTTGCAGACTTGAGGAGATGACAAAATTGACATTACATGGAATCATCGCAGACGTGGAAAGTACAACACCAGCCTGTTGTCTGATAGTACGCACACTCTAGAGTCTCTGTGGCAAAAACATCACCATCTTTCCAAGTTCACGAGAATCCACACGGAGCCTTTCGCACAGGTTTACATTTAGTC